GGTACATGTAAGGATCTGACACGAGAATGTTTATTTTTTCTAGTGTTTTTACATGTATTTGGAGGGTCCTTGGAGGATCATATCCCCATATTCATTTAAATTTTATCCACTTTTGTGATCCCTCAGTAAGGTCTAGAACATGAAGCCTTGTATTTTGATAAAAACCACGGACCCGATCCTCATTCACCTCCATTTGCAGCATTTGTTTGAAATAATCAACTCGTTGTCCTGCTTTGGTTTCAATTTTTATGTGCAAATTATACTTTTTAATACTATCTTCTGTTCTACAAAATTAAAAACTAGCATACATATGATAATGAAAGGGAATAAGAATTTTGATACATGGCTTACAAAGTTCGGAACATAATTAATACCTGTTAGGATGAAGACTTTGTTCCATGATCCCTTGTAGATTAATTTGTCGGGCCTAATCATTGACTTACGTAAAAAAACAATACCGGTACTATTTACCTGCAACTATGTATTATTGTTCTTGATTTATCTAGTTTTCTTTATTGAAGTGGATGATAGTTTTCTTGTCCAGTTCATGGTTGATATGCCATTTTGTGCGTCTTATCAGGCATCATCATCAGGTCAAAAGGAATGCATGCCTTTTCCATCCCCTTAAGTTGGTGGCTTACCTAGTATGATGACTTCCATGACCGGGAATTCCAATTGCATGCTTATGAATCCTGGTTGTAACATCAATCTAGGATATCCTGGTGGTCGGATTCCTTCAACCATGGCTCGTTCATTATCCAACGTTGCAGGGGAAAATAAACCTGTTGATTATCAAGACTGTGGATTATCACCTTTTTTTCTAAATGGAGAATCGCCATGGGAATCAAATTTGGAAGTTAGTTGTCCACAATCAAGGCAGAAAGCGAAGATGAGATACAATGAAAAAAAGAAAACATGTATGTATGATCCTTACCCTTCTTACACTGAAAGGGACATTTATATTCTGTTTTCACATTAATAGATTACAAGGTAGTTCATTTTCAGGCTAAACGTTTTAAGGGCATTTAACAATGAAGTGTCTCTCATTTAACATGTTCTTAGTCTCTCCCATCTTCTGAATCATGCTGCATTCTATTTTAATACCCAATACTCTATAAATCAACTTCTTTTTGGATGCCAACCATGTTGTTGTCCGTTTTTAATAGGTTGTCTTTTAAACATACGAAGTCATTTTTTTATAGGATTGTAAATATCATTACTGTTTTACTTTTCCTGGAAAAGAAAAATACTGGAGAGATGGTTAAAGTTGACCTACCTACACCACTGAAGCCATTATTATGGCCATAAAAATATAAGCATCTCTGCGTAATGATTAATGCTTTAGTTTCCATTTTAGATGGAGGCAACAATTTTACATTTTTTTACGTATTAAGTCATGCTTGAATAGTTGCTTGTTCACATATGGTCAGGGTGATCATATGATGATTTATGCTTCAACTAAAATCCTATCTGGTTTTTCGTTTTTGTTTTTTACAGATTTGGTAAGCAAATAAGATATGCTTCCCGTAAAGCCAGGGCTGACACTAGGAAACGGGTGAAAGGTAGATTTGTGAAAGCAGGTGAAGCATATGACTATGATCCTCTTGTGCCACGAAATGTATAAGCCACATTATGTAACCATGTCCCTGATCTTGAAGGTAACAGATTTAAAAAGATATTAAACATCCTACCTGAAAATGCTTGTAAATAATCTTTCTTGTAATAACATGATAAGCATGAAAATTTATAGATGCTGTGTGGTGCATTTTCATATCATTAGTCGGTATTAGATATGCCATGTATACCCAACTGAGTCAGGTCGAGATCTTATTATTTGTATCAGCTGTACCCAATTGTACATTGAGATAGAGGTTTATTTTTCCAGTTTCTTCTAAAAGGTCTGTAATGGATCAAAATTAGATATGGCATGTATACCTAACCCTATTTTTTTCAGAAAAGAACTAAAAGGTGTGCCATGGCTCAAAATTGTTGTCTAAATGTTAACACTAGATTGAAGAAACTAAGAAACATGTAGTGTTGGAGTGAAGAAAATAGAAAAAAAAAAAAGAGAGAGAGAAAAAAGTTTAGTCATCTCCTAAGTAGCTTGCATTCCACTGAGATAATTTGGTTTATAATAAATGTAAAGGTAATCAGAAAATTCAGATTGGTTAGCTTTATGAGAATCAAGTTTTCTGCTAGAGCGGATCTGAAAAAGATTTTTGCTGCTTGCAGAAGTTTCCAGTGTCCACTTCGACTGATATTGCACACAGAGTGGTCAATCACAGCATTACCTGCATATTGCATAAACTTTTTAAATTCAAGTTTGAATCCTTCATTTTCATTGCATAGAACTCAATAGCTGACACAAAATCATTATTTCTCTAGTTAAATTATAGTTTGTAAATGTTGATAGCAATATCTGATGAAATATGCATACACTTGACCATCTTTTTAATGATTTTGATATCATAAATTTTTTTTAGGCATCATTTCCTTGCAAACATGCTCAACTTAGGTCAATTGTACATTTTTGTTGCAGGTTTAGTTACTCTTTCTTGATTACAGAAAAGGGAAGTAAACCATAGATTCCATCTTAATGCTGCTGTAGGTCCCTATCTCGCTCCCAATCCTCTGTATGAGCAGCTGTTGTTGTATGCATTCAGTATGAAGGTTATTTCGTTTCACAACATAAGCCTGTTTCATGTGTACATTGGTCGATCTATTGTGCTGGCCACCTCAACTCACTTGAGTTTACGGGCACTCGAGCTAACTGATCTGTTCCCTGACGATCTACGAACAGCCTCAACTATGCTTGTGTTATTGTTCCTTTGTGATTGGTAATTGGGATCTTGACAATAAACTATTCTTGTAAAACCACTGATTACATGCTGTACTAATGAAATTGACTTGATGCTTTTCTGTGCTTCATTTGTCAATTAAAAAAACAAAAGGGATTTATATCGACTTCATCACTGAGTATGTTATGCTGTTGTGTTATATGCAGGAAATCATAAAGGATACACACTCCAAGATGTCGAACTAGATGTGAAGAACCTTGGAAGTAACAAGTTTCGGTGCATATTCTTTTTCCTTTCCCAAATACTTAGATATTTCTCTTGCTTTTGTCTCCATCTCCATCTTCTTAGCACAAGGCAAAGCTCTTGTTGCAACTCAATTTTGCTTATCTTATTTTGTACGGTGCACCCATATCTTTTCCATGTAATAAGCACCGATCTGTTGTCATCAAATTGAAATAAGGAGTAGCACTTTGTCAGAATCATAAATCACTATTTCTTCTTTCGGTTTGTTTCAACATAATTAGATCCTTCTCTTGCTTTTGTCGCCGTCTCCATCTTCGTAGCACAGGGGAAAACCCTTGTGGGAACTCGATTTTGTTTATCTTATTTTGTACGGTGTACCCAGCTCTTTTCCGTGTAATAAGCACCGATCCATTGTCATCGAATTGAAATAAGGAGTAGCACGTTGTCAGAATAATAAGCCACTGTTTTTTCTTTCGGTTTGTTCCATATTTTTTAGTAGTTTATATATTTTATCATGTATGATTCTTTTATCCGCAGATGACATTAACTATCAAGAATGAAACATGGAGATTGCTCGAGGTAGTTGAGTTCAGTTTCCTTGAAGCGCAAGAAAAGGACAGAAGGGAAAAGGGTAATACATGCATGCATGCATACATACATACATACATACACACATACATACATACATTTTTTCCAACAATACACACACATACATACATACAAATGAAGAAAGCAAACAATTGTCCAATGCTGACATTAAACACTGTGAAGTTATCAGAAAATGACATGATGTTATTATGCAAGCTGGTTTGCTGGCTGGCTATCTGGAAAAAGGATCAGTATGGGTTAGTTTCAGGATGTAAGTTTTGACTTCCTTCGCCTTCATTTCTTGATGGTTTAAACAAACTGAAACTATACCCGGGGAATCTCTGTAAGTGATGCTAGAGATTTGATTAAGGGGGGAGAAACTGTCTGAATTTCAAAACATGAAAACCGATGATTGGAAATCCCATTTCTGGAAATAAAGAATTTTATGACCATCAATCATTGATATTCGCATATGATATGATAGGATAAGATGACCCTTTTGGACACAGCAGAACCAAAGCATGGGCAATGGCTCATCATGATTTCAACCTATCAAAAAACCTGTGTTATTCGACTATGACCCACCAACCAGGCATCATCTGATGAAATCATGAATCAGATGGGACAATTAACTTTTCCTCTTACTGATTAGCCCCCACACCTAACAGTCCATACCCCATTTTTGTGACGTAAAGCAAATTTTGTCCTCAATTGTTACTGGGGACCCCATAGATAGCGAGTGCTTAGTTTCAGATTGTTGCTTCTTCTCAGGATCGTGATTTGGATCACACTCTGTGAATTGAACGGTTCTATAAAATTTTTCAGATTGATATTGGAAGACAATAACACATCAGCTGGCTTTGGCTTTTCATGAGGCATCAGCCTAAATTTGATGCAAAATAATCATTTTTATAGTACATTTTTGAACTTTTCTAATGAATGACTAATAGGTGCAGGTAAATTCAGACCTCTCTTTCCATGAAGCACTAACAATCATACAAAATTTGCACTAAATCTTCTACTTTTTCCTACTTTGCACCTAAGATTCTTCATTATTCTTAAAATATCCGTACTTGATACCTCTGTCTCACATTTACGTCCGAGTCTGAATAAAGTATTTCTTGTGATTTATACTCTCTTTCCATGAAGCACCAACAATCATACAAATTTTTGCACTAAATCTTCTAGTTTCTCCTCCTTTGCACCTATGATGCTCGGTTTCTTCATTATTCTTGAAATATCCGTACTTGATACTTGTGTCTGGCATTCACGTCTGAGTCTGAATAATGTATTTCTTGTGATTTACACTCCAAATTAAAGAAAATAAAGAAAGCTAAATGTGAGAGTTTGCACAAGAAAAATGCACTAATGAGAGAGAAAATCAATCTGGTTTACACAACACTGAGGATTACAACATTCTTGACTCTACCTATAACGAAGCTTACATGTATACATATGTGTAAACCCACAATGATACCCTCAGGCTAACCAGATAAGATCCTCCATAACCAAAAGTTGTAAGACAGGAGGAGGAAAAAAGTGGCAATCAGAGAAAAAGAAAAGGTGTTTTAAGCGTCGCTGAATGCTTAGTTTCCATGTCAGAGTCACACCGGCTTCTCTCCGACGAGCTCACCATCGTCGGCAGCACCACTTCCTGTGAAGCTCCGATGAGATATCTCTGACTCAAACTTTGACATGTATCACAGAGAAAACACCTGATATGCCTGAGAGCCAAGAAATTAGCTTGATGAACCCATTTATCACACTTCCTACACAGATACGCATCATCAGCTTGACAATACAAGGAAGCCTTGGAATTGCAGAGCTCACAGTTCACTAACCATGAAGAATCATCATCGCTTGCCGGATCATCATGCACTGACGAGAAACCCTGTTTCGGACAAGAACTCGAGCTGCTGTTCCCATCTTGTTGTAAACCTCTGCACATTTTCAGACGATATGGAAAGCTAAGAAGCTATGGAGAGAAATACCCAGTATATATAAACCTGTAAGATCGAATGTTCTGTGATTTTTTTCTGTACAACAGAATCAATAAATGTTGAAACTTGTGGTTGAGAAATTGGGTTTCTTTTAAACAATGGAGCACGTAAGAATCTTTAAATAATTGTAGCGACACACTCGTGGCTTTCACCAGTCTTTGAGGAGTGTAATAATTATGATATAAGCCCAAAGGTTAAAGCTTGTCGTTGTGGTTCGAGTGGTTACAAAGTCTATTATAGTTTACCAAAGAGACAAGTTTTGTTTTCATGGCCGAGAATTAAAGCTCTCTGTTTTTTGTTAAGGGGAAATGACCATCCAGCTCAGTTGGTAGAGCACAAGGTTCTAAACCTTGAGGTCGTGGGATCAAGTCCCACGGAGGGCATTTCATAATTTGGAGGTCTCCTACGGAAGCTGCTCTCAACCTGGTGTTAGGGGCAGCCTACTATCTTACCTCCCCCTTACCCCATACATATGGGAAAAAAGGGACAGCCATTTTTTTGTTTTTGTTAAGGGCTGTGGTACCCCACGCCAGCAGCACTGTACCACCAGCAAACAAGTCTCTCTCTCTCTCTCTCTCCCCTTCTCTCTCAATTCGTCTTCATCTGCGGTTCCCAATGAAGGACAAGAATTTCTACTTTTAGCAACGTTTCCAATACGTTTGTTGGCAAAAATCTATATAAAGGTTTGGATTAATACACGAATTAGTCCCTTTATCGTTCAAACATTATGGTTCAGTTAAGTTTTCAATTAATCGATTTTTTCTTTCCAACCTTAATCTCAACAACCAATAAGACCATGACATGTGACACTTATCGGCATCAAACTTTTGATCGGCTAATAATGTGTCGATAACCTGATTAGTTGTTGAAATGTCAAGTCCGAACAGATACCAATTTGAGAATTTTTCTAAAATTCAGATACTGAATTGAAGGAAAAAATTGAGTCAAGGGACCTATACGTGGATTAATTCAAAAGTGAATGAATCATTTGTTGGTGAAATGAATGCGGGGAGTGGAAGCAAAGGGATTGTCCTAATCCACACGTTGATTAAGCGTTGATGGATTTGTCCACTTGTATGGTTCACGTTATGGTATAAACGAGCCGAGTCGAGTTCGAGTATTGCTGAGATCGATTCAACTCGAAAACTTTAAAATAGAGTTCGACTCGATTCGAAAACTCGTGAGCTTAAAATTTCAAGCTCAACTCGAATTCGAAATCCTGAACTGAAGCTCGTGAGCAGCTCGAAAAGACTTGAAATGAAAAAATTCTTAAACTTAACTCGATTGAAGTCTCAAACTCGAACATAAACATTAAATACATGAAACTTACTGTATTTAAAAAAAACCAATACATAAATATTAATATTATTACTAATTTATTTAAAAAAAATAAAATCTTAATATATTATATTTTCGAGCTTCTCACGAGTTTTTCGAGTCGAATATCGAGTAGCTTGTTTCTGCTCATTAAGAACTCGAATCGAGCTCGAGCTCAAGTCGAATCCATTCGATCCGAGTATTTATCGAGCCTTGATCGAGTCGATCTCGAGCTCAAGTTGAATCCATTCGATCCAAATATTTATCGAACCTTAATCAAGTCGATCTCGAGTCACTCTCGATTTGTATATCTCATTTTCATTCCTATCTCAAACACTTCTTTTCTCTTTATATGGCTGTCGTCATTTTTTTAATTATTACTATTTTATTTGTGGATTTCCATATTTCTCATTTATTTTTTAAAGTATAATTAATGGACAGAAACTACTTCATATTCTCTCCATCCAAAACCATTCATTTGAAAGCTCCTGTTTTTAATTTGCAACGTTTAAGTCCTGACAGATAGGCACGATTCATATATTAAAGTTTGTCAAAAAAAATAATAATTTAATTAAAGAAATCATAATGTAAATTATTTGATAAAAAAATAAGATTTAAATCAATATAAAAAATATCAACAGATAAATCTGGGATCATAGTTCATCACTAATTTCAATAAGGCGTGGGCTGACCATACAAATTTATTCAATTAGAGTTTTTATATTCTTACATTTATACATTGTCGTAACCGTTTTTCGGCGGGAGCAATCGTTTAATTGTTTTAAAATATCAGTTACGACTTTTATTTGGAAAATTGAGTGATTTTGGATTAATTGAAATTAAATTGAAAAGGAGTCGCCACCGACCTTTGAGTTAGGTAGGTCGAATACCTAAAAATGTCTTTTAAAATAATTTTTTAAAAAATCATTTTTTAAAGACAAAATTGGTCTGCATTACCAGAAGTTCATTTTAAAGGGTTCGGGAGTCGGTTACGCGTGAGGAAGGATTAGCATCCCACAACGCCCAAAATTGGTACTGTTCCGCTTACACGTTGTCGTAATGGTGAAAATCCTGAACCAAATATCAAGTTAAAATATAATCTATTTATTACAATTTAATTAATTCGCCTCAAATTATTTCATTAGTAAAATAAACGAGATTTATTTCAAGTCTCATTTCATTCTAACGCCATATAAGATTGTACCACTTCGATCAAGTGATACTTTCCACCCAGTTCTACAAATCAGTTTTTGAAAGACATTCGGATAACAATACTAAAAATATTATCAAAGAGATTTAATAAAAGTTAAAATATGTGTAATGAGTAAAACATTTATATATATATCATGCATATTTTAATAATATATATATATATATATATCATACACGTAATTCAAGATAAAATATAACAATTTAAAGAAATCTTAACACATATATAGATGTACTGTGCATAATATATTAATATAAAAATGAGAATAAATATATGAATTACAAATGGAAAAATCAAACATGCAGGTATTAAAACAAACGGAAATTAAGTTTTAAAAGGCAAGTGCGTATATTTTTAATAAATCGAATAAATTGTGAAATTAATCTATCAAAATAAATAGAGATAATTTGGTCTAATAAGTAAACAAACATAAAGGATAAAAATATAATGCAAATAAAATAAAAGGCTCAAAATAATATGAAAGTAACCCAAAACAGAACTAAAATGCATTTAGAGCAAAAGTACAGGGATTACAAACATAAAACACATTTCCTTTGCATAATAGCTAGTTACTAAAATGAACCAAAAGAAAATATATGGCATGTGTATGAAAAATAAAAATTAGCACATAAATCTTAATTTTAAAAATAATTGTTAATAATTAATAGCTAATATTAATGTTTATCAACAAAATTTACATAGGGACCAATATGCAACAAAAATAAATCATGGTTACCAATTTAAAATTAAATAGGGAGGTGATAAAAAAATCAGATTTCAAAGAGTGCAAATAGAGCATTTAAATTAAAGAAACAACAAAAATAAAGAATAAAATGCAAGAACATAGAAAGGCGTGGGGGACCTAAGGTGATTTACCCAAAAATATCCATGAGACATAATATCTTCTCTGCTTTTTCATTTTACACGTGAACTTAACCTAAAAGCAAAAAATCATTCAACTCTTCTATTCCTCTTTCTACTCCACAGCGCCGCACACCAAAACTAAAATCAACTTGGTCACCATGTTCCGATGATGGCCTTCCCCAACGCCTCAAAACCCGAAGCCAACGAGATACTCGACCCCAATAGAAAACAACATCGGCGAGATGAGTCCAACTCCTTCTTTTTATCTTTTTTTATATATATATGCATGCAAGGAATAAAACGAAGAAAAAAAATTGATTACCTTGGATTCGAACTATTCTTTTTTCTATTTCTTTCAGAAATCTCCCTTACATTGAATTTTTTTTAGGGTTTTTTTACCCATTACAAAACATAATTTTTTTTCTTGTTGTTCGTTCCTTTTTTTTTTGTTGAAAACTGAGAGCCCACGCTCTTGTGTTTGAGATCTTTTTTTTTGTTCCCCCTTTTCTTCTCTAATCCTCTGCCTATTTTATGGTTGATATCTCCACCTAATCTTAATGGATGCATATGCATTTTCTTCGTTTTTGGTAGGATATTGACAGGCTAGGTATCATTTAGGTGATATGCTTTTGACTTTGCTGATATTGTTTGTTTGTTTTTGCTGTTCAGTGGCCGACATGGTGAAGATGATGTTTCAACTTGCTCAGAGGTGACTAGCCTTAGTGACTCGTCGGTGGAGAGGCTTGGTACTGTTATTGATCTGGGTCTGTTGGGTTGCTTATAATTGGGCCACATTTGGCCTGCACAAAAATATAAACACACTTAATAATACTAATAATAATAATAATAATAATTTAATAATATTTTTTAACCCTGACAAAAAAATGTGTGTCTACAGCTGCCCATCTTTGCACATTCTTGTGTAAACAAGAATAGGGCAAAGACGAAAAAGACAACCATTTTTTTTCTTCCTTCGTCGTTAGATTGAACAAGTTCTTCTCATTATGAACTTATTCTTTCTCGTGGATGAGTTCTTCTCATTATGAACTCTTTTGGAAATGGCAATCCCTCTAATGAGGCATCACTGATTCGAAATGTCGTGAATCAAGTGATAGGTCGAACAAGCTCTTCTCATTATGAACTTCTTCTTCCTCATTGGATGAGTTCTTCTCATTATGAGCTCTCCATTGAAAATGTTGATGCGAAGTTGGACAAGTTCTTCTCATTATGAACTTCTTCTTCCTCGTTGGATGAGTTCTTCTCATTATGAACTCTTCACTGGAAATGTTGATCCCTCAAGCGAGGTGTCACTGATTCGAAATGTTGTGAATCGAGTGATAGGTCGAACAAGCTCTTCTCATTATGAACTTCCTCTCCCTCTGTCGGATGAGTTCTTCTCATTATGAACTCTCCATTGGAAATACTGATCCCTCAAGCAAGGTGTCACTGATTCGAAATGTCGTGAATCGAGTGATAGGTCGAACAAGCTCTTCTCATTATGAACTTCTTCTCCCTCTGTCGGATGAGTTCTTCTCATTATGAACTCTCAATTGGAAATGCTGGTTCACCTCCTTCTGTGATGAATCTTAATTGTTATTGACTCTCTCTAAATTTCTGTCAAAACATTCAAAGCATTTCAATGAATATGAATGAATGAGCATGCTCCTATTCATAGATGCTTACTGATGTATGCATGATGTCATTTTAATATTATGAACTTTGTGGTCCTGCAAATCTTCATTTT